ACTTGGGATCATGTGAGATCAGCCTGTTTTCGTGAGACCCGTGAGACCAACATTTTACACTTGAAACTTCACAGCAAAATGCTGTGAAGGTAACTTTTTAAAACCTTTACAGTGTTTTTGCTGTGAAGGTTCGACTTTTTTTAAACCTTCACAGCGTTTTTGTTGTGAAGTTTACGTGTAAAAATGTGGTCTCACGGGTCCTTCTGTGCTTAACATATATGTATCGGTGTTATCTCTTATGCAATGCCATCAAAAGTTCTAGATGTAACAGAACCTCCAAAAAAATTGGAACTCGTCTGGTAAGCGCTAACCGTAACAAAAGTCGTCGCACTCACTTCCGCTTGCCTGCACTCACTTCCGCTTGCTTTCACTCTTACCACGTAAGATTCTTGGTCCTTACCATATTCATTCGGTAAGTTAATATGACTTGATAAGCGCTTATCCGGATAAGCATTTGGTAAACGGCCTTTTTACATGATTCAATTTTCAAATAGAAATTCCATCAAAATCAAAAGCAATACAAAGTCTGGATCAATTATATGATACCAACATCAAGCAGAAAAAAGAGAAGGCAAATTAATTATTGATAATCACCGAAATTTACACGACATGCTACGGTATAAAACTGACAGTTACGTTCTACTATTACAGCTGAGAATGACTACACCACGAAATTAATTTATGAAAAGAATTCATATAAAAGTCGATAAAATGTCAAAAAGAACTCAACTCAAACAGCAAACTTTCAAAGCAGACAGGTCTTGATCTTTACCAAATACGACATCCCGCTCATGGTTCAGATAGCCAACGTTAAAGCTCGTTAACCCACATTCCAGAGGACTCGATGCAGATGTTTATCAACTGCCAACGAATAAATATTTTCATCGGTTACTTGCATGCTTGATACTTGTGCAGTTCCAGAAAACAGGTATACTTTGAGGTCAAATTGTTTTAATTTTTAATTAATATGTGTATATCAAGTATTGATTTAAGATTAATGGAATGATTGATTTTATATATAAGACGTCAAATATGTCTTGATAAACTCTTTTATACAGCTTATTATAATTGTATAGAATTGTGTTAGATAAGTTGATAGAGCAAGTCCTAACAAATTTTTAGAACCCTTTTGAAATACAAAAGGTCTTATTGAAAAGTGTTCTTATAAAAAACATGTGTCTTATAAAAAACATGTGTCTTATAAAAGGACACTTCTTGTACTGTAGGAAAAACTAATAAGACATTTTATTTCAAAAGTGTCTTAAAAAGCGTCCTACCAACTTATTCACAACATTTTTACATGAGACCACAATTGTTGTGGCAAGTATTAGAACTGGAGAAAGGAGTCATGGAGTAAACTTACATCATGCATAGGTCGGTTCCTTGATCAAACTTCCATCATATCCTCCTGAAAGTTCGGCAAGCTCAGCCTGCAATCGTTCGTATTTCTCTTTGATGGCTGCAGAACTCATCACCTCAGCAACACCCTGCTTAATTTGCTGCTCCAAAACCTCCATCTTTGCCTTTGATTGGTTACTAGGATTCTTGTTCTTCATGGCCTCTAATTTCAACATCTCGATTTTGTTTTTCAAATCTGGGGTTGATTCAATAACATCTTGGATTATCTGGTTAATTTCAGCATTAAGTTCATCAACTTTTGCTTTGATCATGGCCATCGAAGATTGACCTACCCGTGAAGCTACATGAACACCTGAAGCTTCGAGAGCTTTAACAAATTCGGATTCCACTTCTTCTCTAACCTCCAAAACTTTCTCCTTCAACTCCTGATCCAGTTCTTCAATGGCAGAAACCCCAGATTTTTCAACTTCATCTTTCAGTCCCAGAATCTTCTGCTTCAGAYTGGGMTTCTCCAAAACTTGTCTGAATTTTTCGTTCACTTTGGCCTTCAACGGAAGGCTCTTTTTGTATTTTTCAGCAAAAACTTTGGCTTCGGAAATTTCCTTTAACAAGTTTAGCTTGTAYTGCAGCCTTCCATGGTTAGGAGCCGTTGCCAGATTCTCGTTAAACTCATTCTTTAGATCCTCAAGATCCTTAAACTGAGCAGGAGTCAACTGTTGGTCYGTTGCTTTAGCAAATTCTTGGCGCATTTTAGTTAATTTTTCCTCGATRCCCAAAGCTTTAGCTGCTTGAGAAATTTCRTAATTTATCTCTCTTTTCAGCTTCTCAATCAACCCATTTTGATCCATATCTACTGAAGATGATTCCTTTGCTTTCAGAATTTGCTCCTTTAGTTTATTAACCTCACCCTGCAACACTTTGTCGGAAATAAGTCCAGGTCTTGGTTCCTCTTTCTKTTTCATGTTGACTTTCTTTTCKGGCTCGACGGGTAGTCCTTCTTGGAATCCACCAATCTTGCGAAACTTGAGCATTCGATGTCTTAACAGGTCTTCYGTACCCATCTTCTCAAGCTCCTATTTATACAAAACATATYTGTAAGTATAATCTRAGCATAGACTTTGGACTAACAGTAWTTATGGAATGGAGTTAATGTACTCACATCCATTGTTTCAAGAATGGCAGCTTTTATTTGTCCGGAAGTCCAGTGCGGATCTGCATGTGCACCACCAAGTGGTTCCTGCAATTATGGTCAGCCTCACATAAGATGGATGGGAACGGAAGTTCAAAAACAACTGAAAGTCTCTCGAATTCCCTATCCATTTCTCCATTTAATATATCCCGTTGTTTTATTTAGATGGATGAATGAAATTAGAGAGTTAGGGGAAAGGGAGAAAACAGCAGAATCTTACAGGGATGATGCCATCAGCAATCTGTAGCTTGCGGAGCTCCGTAGATGTGATCTTGAGCTTCTCAGCTGCCTATAAATTAGAAAAAAAACTATATAAGCTTTGAGCATTATACCAATAAAGACAAGAAGAGGACTGTTTCACCACCTTTGGAGAGGCTTTAGCGGTCTTCCACAGAATTGCTGCACATGCTTCAGGGCTATACCATGGAAATTAAATAATTTTAGGGAAAAAATGTAATGAAATGATTTAGCAACAACACAACTATCTTTACACAAGTTTCCTACTTCAAAAGACTGTAATTTGATTGGTTGATTTAGAAGGTTAGATTTAACTTGTAATAGGACAAGTAATAATACTGTCCAATAAGACTATTGGAAATTAAAAAAGGTCTCTAAAAAGCAGCTATGCTATCAAGAGGGTGAAACAAAACCAAAAGTGAAAAGATTAAGAAGTGTAAACAAATTGACCCTGTAATTTACTTGCTCAATCGACTAATAGCCTCAGGTGTTTTGGTCACAGGCAGCCATGAAATTTCAACTATAAATAAGATTACAAATTCATGAGAACATGATGATGCAAGATCTAACCTACATTTGTGGTACAAGTTAGAAAATTTTCTAGTCACCTGGCAACATAGAAGACTGCATTTTCAAGCATTAGCAATTTATTAGCACAACCAATTGCCAAAGCACCTCCAGATCCACCTTCACCRATCACAATGGAAACRATTGGCACCTTCAGACCGAACATAGTCCTTAAATTGTGGGCAATGGCTTCACCCTGCATAGAAATAAATTAACCACYAACTCAAGCACTGTAGAAACAATAATGGGTYGCTTAGCCATATCATAAAAGATAATCAGCTTTATATRTGTATCTACATACTTGGCCTAGTTCCTCTGATTTAAGGTCAGCAAATGCCCCWGGGGTATCGATGAAYGTGACAATAGGGAATCCATGGTGGTCTGCATARTACATCATGCGYAGAGCTTTGCGGTAGCTGTAAGAAACAWAGCATCAATGTTAGCAGGACTTCTAAAACCAAATCAAACCAAACSCAAATAAAAGAKAMGAAATGGAAAAAGGAAAGATTAAGGCTAGAGAMAAGTAWRYAGCACCATGWAATGAAAAGAYWGCMGGACTTCTAATAATATAGCATGTCTATAATGTAAATCTRTAAGATCTTTTGACATTGATTTCACCARGAGTAGCTCCARATAACTTWTATTGTTACCSRACCAATATGCTTACCCATGTGGTGTWGGCATTCCRAAGTTGCGTTGAATATTCTCTTTGGTATTTCTACCCTTCTGATGRCCCATAAACATGAAACGCCTGCCATCTATTGTTCCAATGCCTGTCACTATTGCAGGATCATCGTAGCCGCCTCGGTCACCATGAAGCTCAACAAACTATACATTTTGATACACAAAAGGGTCTATCGTATGGGATTCTTTCAAGTAATTTTTTAAGTTTTTAACTTGAGAAACATTAGAGAGCTTTGAGAACATCAAGTACCAGACCTTATCAGTAATGCTGAAGACATGATCAAGAAAAGTAGGCCTATTAGGGTGTCGTGCAATATTAACCCGCTGTATTGGAGTCAAATGTGTATAGAGATCTTTAAGAGCCTGTAAATGAGTACATAAAAAGATTAAGCAGACATGACAGATCAGCAATGTGACTTTATGTTATAAATTAAAAGAAAGCACCGGGAAAAAGGAACATTTTCGAGATCTATAATAGCTATTTTAAAGTTAGACTTATAACACAAACCCATCTAAGGGATTTAATTAATCTATTAGTTATACTTCATCATCACAAGGAAGGTGGGATGGTCAATGACCTAATGCAGATATATGCATTAATATTTCAAACCCAAGCACAAAATTTATCATATCTGCCTTTCTGGTCCCAAGTTCTTTTTTGAAGTCTTCTTATTTCTTTATGTTCCCCAAACTTTGTGGGCTAACTTTCTCGCTTTCACACACTTTCCACAAGTCAGGGGTCTTCATGGGTAGAGGTCAAGTTTGGATTATACCCTCCAGACCTCACCTTAGTGGGATATACTGGGCTCGTTTGGTTTAGTTATTCCAAGCATAAATTTTCAAAATTATGTCAGCTTCTCAACCAAACATCAACATTTCCAACAGAACTGAACCAAATTAATAAACAAGTATTTGCTGAATGCCATTAGTCATAAACTACAAATACTCCTAATCACAACAAATGAACACTTTACCTACTATTAAATAAAACCGAAAATAATAACTTGGATCTGTCATTCATTGAGAATTATATTTAACTTTTTAACATTCGTCTTATGGAGACATAAAAATTCAAATAAGTAACTGAACCTGCTGATATTTGTTCTCTAATGAGATGATTTGATCACTGAAGTCTAGACCAGTTTCATTTGCCATCTTTTGCACCTGCATACAAACAAAAATTGAAATTTTAGACATCTTACTACGAAGTGACGACATTAGAGCGGTTTAGGAGGCTTTACATCAATAATTTTCTTTTGTAGATCCATAAGAGGCTTCTCAAATTCCAAGGTAACTGGCTTCGGCTTTTCCTTTAAAGGCTTGAATGGAGAAAGATGACTAAGAACTCCACCCTTCACATTGGAGTCAGGATCCTGGGGCCACGGGTACTCATGCTGCTTCACCTTCCTGACCTTTGCAGAGATACTTATTCGTTTCTTCCTTGTGCCAGCATGTCCTCTGCCTAACGTTCTTAGTGGTACACCATTGACACCATTACTAGAGCTTCGAAGAACATCTGAAGCTGCAATTCCAGAAGACAAACTCCCAGAAAAGGTAACTGCCGACTGAGATACTGAAGTCATCTCCAGACCCAAAAGTATGGCACTTCAAATTCTCACCCTAATCCATCCACAAACAACAATATAAATCAAATGAAATGGAAAAATATCAAAATACACATCAAGTTGCAGCTTCAGAAAATATAAATACTATAAAAAGTCAGCATTTTAGTTGAACTCCCACCAAATCCCAAATTTTATTTTCCATAATAACCTATCTTTTCCTCAATGATGTTCAAGTTCTAGATTAAACAAAAACATAACAATCAAATTCGACACATGCTCATACCTTTAATGGTCCCCAGTTATTGAACCCTTCTTTTCCTCAATCTCAAACACTTGCACAAACTCAAATTTCTACACCCTTTTTGAAGATCATGGTCATAATGTGTATGGTTCAGATACAAGTTCTCATATTCTCTTTCTATTGCCTACAATTTCAATAACTTCTACATGTTTTTGCTCAGGTGATCTCTTACCATATATTTAATATTTATGGTGACAATACAACCTTGCTTCAAGCTGGCAGATGATAGACTAGGAGGTGTTTTCTAATATCATATTGTAGTGAGGTTGACTTATCACAACCATATTGCTCACACAAACTCACTACCAAGTACCTAGTTGGCAGCGAATGGTCATCCTGTCAGAGAATCTGATCTGTCATACTCGATCTTCAGTTGGTCAATCAATGCCTACTAGGTATGGCAACTCAGTATCGTCCATTGGCGATCTAACCATATCTATGACCGAGGTACTGCACTGAATCTAGTTACTTATATGTGTTGTGAACAAATAAATTCGTTATCTTTTTGTGTTTCTAGTTGTAGGATTCCAATTTTCAGTAAACGTAAAGTTGATTAAAAAGTTTTTAGCAACTGGTATATATTGCTGATAACAATTAACAACCAAAAAATTGTTAACAAAACTGTACAGCTTATACAGCTTTGTGTGAACGATAAGCACAATGTTGATGGATAACAACAGTAGAACACATAAAGAAAAAACAGATGAAATGAATTCAAAGGGGATTGTGATTTGTCACAAAAAATGAAAACCATGTAGACGAGAGTAAAGAAAGGAGATGCAGATTGCTGAAGGGGAAAGAACAAAGAAGTAGAGGCTGAAATTGATTAAGAACTAACGAAACAGAGAAGATAGAACAATGGAAGTGAAACAATCTCTTCCAATTTTATATTATATACAATATCATAGAGTAGAACTTTTTCTATGTGATCATGCTGCAACAAGCTGCCATTTTTCCAGACAGTTGAGGCAATTTATGATACATAGTCAGCCAAGGCAATTCACAGTGTACAAGATAGTGGCTCTGATAACTCTGGAAGATAGAGAATAACCGGTTGACATGATTTAGTATAGATTGTAAATTATCCATGGAAATCGAACAGAGAAACCTGAGAGTACCTGAGGAGAAATCGAACCTTGAAGGAGAGCGGCGTGACAGAAGAGGCTAATCTTGGAAAACGTCAAGATACAACATCGAGAAGGAATTTTGTGCAGGAAGATCTGAGATTGAACACTATGAAGAGAAAGGATTTTACGAAGAGAGAATGGAGATTATTAGGAGGCAATGAGGAGACAGAGGTGCAACATCGAGATCATCGTCGATAGTTTTTGGGTTTTAGGTGAACTTCAATTGTTCGATACTTTTTATACGGTTTAAGAGTTAATTGTATGATTGGTCCACGTGGTTGATGTGTTTTAATACATCAATATTCTATTTAATATATAGAGAGAGACAGGCTGAATTAATATGCAACTTTTTGTATTTATACAACCAATACAATTCAATCTTAATTATTTATTTAATTTGATGAATATATGATTATATAAAAGTTTTGATTTTTTTCCTAATATAAAGTATTGATCATAATTAATGAATTTTAGTTATCTTTCATAAATATTTAAATCATAATAAATGAACTCTCATGATTTACAATGTATAACGTATTGGGTTTATGTTATTAACTTTGTTACATTTTTTTTTTCTGTTAAGTAAGTCAATCAAGAGGATGTTTTGATTATTTTAATCATTAGGACTAAATTGCAATAAAAACGACAGGGACCAAACATGTAATTTACTCTTTATACATCTATATCTATACTATATTATAAAGCATTTGGCTCATCTCTTAAAAACAAATTATCGTGCATAAGGTACAATTAATTTGTGCACATTACTTAAAAATCAAAAGTACCAGTTAATTATGCATACGTACATGTTTTTATGATGTTAGTTTCTACAAAACGTACATTCATTTGTACGATGATTGTTTGTCTTATGTCTCTTTGTTACTGGTATCAATTTGAACTTGAGCCATGTATCTAGTCATCCTCATATTAGTTGATGATAGGTTTCTTGATCTAGAACACGAATATGATCATTAAACTAGATTGACCAACTGTCAATGTCGTTTGGGTATGGCCATACACTCACATCTATTCGATTTATCAAGGGGCACAGCCATATCATACTCTCACCTAGTAGATGAACAAATCCCATCTTGACTATATGCGATTATAACAAGATTCACACTATCCTCAATAATAACCTTTTTAACTGCCTTATTTAGAACAACGTATGACTATTTTAAAACATAATGATTGACTCACTCTAGTGCCAGCATATATCTTAGGTCTAAGGATATATAGTATAACACCTCATTTCACATTTGCATATAATCCACGTATTTCGTGTAATATAGTATTTCTGTTATTTTGTTTCAATGATCTTCACTGATTCTATTTAGTGATCGTTGAAGGTGTATTGTAATTCTTTCAGAGACTGTTATACTTCAAGAATACTAAACTAACACCACAGATTCTTCAGCAATGTTGAAGACAAAAATGAAGATTATAGACCAGCAAGTTCGTGATCTGAAGCGGTATTCAGTGATTACAAGCTCGTCTACATATGTGTGAAATCTGCACAAGTTTCAACGAACATTGAAGAGACCTTTCAGCGTCATCACAATATTCAGCGATCAAATGAAACTTACCAAGCACGATTGTTTTTGTTTTGTCCTCCCTCACACAAATGACAAACCCATACCTTTCTAAAGTACAGTACAGTACGGAGCCACTCCATTGACTCTATAATGCTTACCTACTTTATGAAAGAAGACTGCTCCTATAAAGCCAAAAGGACTGTATACCGTAGCAAAAGACAAGCTTTTTTCCAAAATCTTGATACGTGCTTTGTACCTTTAAATTGCATTTAGTATAATGAGTATAAATAGTTGAGTGTTCTTCTCTTAGTTATCAATCTTCCTCACTAAGAACTTACCCAAGAAGTTACTTTTTCCACTACTTTCTGTCTAAGAGAAAGAACCATTTTAACAAGTGAAGAGCACTTTTATTCTTTCTTCATTTCTTGTAGCAAATCTTTTCTCTTTGCTATTTGTAATTGTGTGTATCTTAGATTGTTTAGATAAGTTCTTTACCTTATCTCTTCCGTAAAAAATATGTAAAATTTGTATTGGTCTTCTTTATCAAATGTATAATTTTTAAAAGTGATAGTTTATGTGTTTGTATTCATCCCCCCCCCTTCTACAAACTGATTACTTATAAAATCTTGTAGATACAGTTGGGATCAACAAGTGGTATCAGAGCAGTGTTTGCTTTTTGTATTGTATTGTTGTTTTATTCGTATTTTATTATCTTTCCATCTTTAGATAATTTATTCCTGTCAAAATGGCTTTGCAAAACACTAACACTAACTTTCACGACAATGGCTCTCTTGCCAAATCTCCCCATATCATCAGAGTCAGTCTCTAGAAGAATCGAATGTCTATATTCTTGGAAGGTGTGGATCCTGAGATCGCATACTATATTGAGAATGGACCTTATGTTCCATTTGTAATATCTCAATAGTTTCTGCAACTGCTACGACTGCCGTGATTCCAGAATGGCAGATTCTAAAGTTCCCTCATCAATGGAGTGATGAAGACAAAAAGAAGATGGCTTTAGACACTCGTGCGAGGTCTATAATATCCATGGCTCTTCCTGACGAGGTATATCACTCAATTATGAAGCTTAAAACCTCGAAATTCATGTGGAACACTTTATGTGTTCAATATGAATTTACTACTAAAGTACAAGAATCGAGGAAGATTAATTTAGTAAGACAATATGAAAACTTTCTTTGTGGAAAGATTGAAGCTTTGTTTAAAGTACATCAACATGTTAATTGTCTTCTTATTGATTTGAGTACAGTAAGAAGAGAATAGTCCAACTTAGAGACACTGACAAAATTCTTTGAATGTTTGCCAAAATCATGAGATCATTATACCATGTGTCTCAAGATGTCTAAGGACATGCCCTCCCTCTTTCTCAGTATCCTTTATGGAATATTGCTTAATCATGAGCAATCCCGTCAGCTGAAGAAGAATCTTCTTAAAGACTCTAGGGAAATAAAAATCTCTCCGTTAGCTTTGATCTCTGATAACCCTTCAGCTGACTCTTTTATTTCTTCCATTCCTTCTATTTCTTTTGTATCTATCACTGAGTTAGATCCTTCTAACTCAGGACGCTGATCTTTCAGAATTTGATGAGTCGATGGCCCTTTTTACTAACTCCTTTAGGAGGTTCGATAGAAAAAGTAACTATCGCAGATCTCCCTCGTTAACCTTAACTGAAAAACCAAAGTCAAACCCCATTGACTAGGCTTCAGCAATCTGCTACAACTGCCAATGCAAAGGTTACTTTGCTAGTGAATGCAGGTATAAGAAAATTGAGACGCCATCTTCCAAGCCCCCATCCTCCTTCAGATCTAAAGGTGATATATACCTGAAGTTAGGGGTGAGCACGGGTCAGATCGGACCATAAACTGAAGAAACCGATTGGGTATCAGATTATAATATCATGCCCCGTAATATGCAGTTCGGGGGAAGTTCGTGGTCGGGCCAGTTCGGGGAAGTTCGGGTTCGGTCGGGTTTTGGAGGGGTTCAGGCCGATGAAATACCTTTGTTTCTCACATTATCATGGATTTTTCTCTCCACTGTTTTCACCAAAGATAAGGAGTGTACATGAATATTTGTCGTGTATAAGTATTTTATACTTTAAAAAGAATACATTTGTGGGTATAATGCTTAAAAATGTAGATTTGCTCATGAAAACCTTATGCCTGTGGCTTGATCAAGTGGTTTGAACATAGTTAAGATAACTCCAATATTTTGAGTTAAAAACAACGTTTGTATATTTTTATAATGAATGGAGTGCATCAATGGGTTTATAATAAAAGTTTCACCCCTCAGGAACTCTGGAAGTTCACTGCCCAATGCCCACAACCCATAGATAAGAAAATATGCATATGAGTTAAAGTTAAATTGTTAAAGTGGAACTAGTTTAAATTGTCATTATCTAGCAAATTGGTGACCAAAAATTAGCTAAAGATCCAGGAACTCTGCAAATTGGTGCATCAATCATTTCCAAGAGCTGGTACTTGGTGCCTAAAAATTAGCTACAGATCCCTAACCCATCACCAATCTTTAGAGTTGTTGCATGGTAATAGTAATAGTCTTCTTAAGAAATGAAAGACAAAGATTGACATACACCATGACAATTCAAAGGTATCTAGTACTAGTAGTAAAAGTTGAACAATTCGATTTTCGGACGGTTTCAGGTTTTGGATCATGAGATCCTACCCAATCCCACTAACCCAATATAATTTTCGGATTTCGGACCTCGGGTTGGTTCGGTTCATAGATATCGGTTCGGTTAAGGTTTTTCGGTCGTTTTTTCGGGTAATCCGGGTTGGGTCGGGTTTTGCACAGCCCTACCTGAAGGAGAAGTACAAGAAGATGAACAATCTTCAGTGTAAAAGGCAAAGGTCTTGTCGCTGAAGAGTATGACTGGGCTGATTTTTCTGAAGAATCATCCTTTGACGAGGAAAACACGTTCTACCTCTGTCTAATTACCAAGGATGTCAAAGATGAACCATCAGAGACCTCATTTCTCCAGTGATCCCTCGTCATCAACCCCTACTTAGGTATGTTCCCTGAATGAACCATCTTCTTCTTCTTCTTCTTCTTCAGATAGCCTATCTGCACTAGATACGCTGACGGTTGACCTTTACAATGCCCTGAATGGCAAGTCCAAAGCTAAAAAGCTTAATCTTGATCTTCAAGAAAAATTAGAGAAATGTCATTCAAAGATCAAAGAGCTGACTAAGATTGAAGAAAATCTTAAGGATCGGGTCATTTTAAACCAAATCATAAGCATCGAACGCAAGTAGGCTATCGCTGAGCGTGAGCAAGCTATTGCTGAACTCAAGGCTGAGAAGGTTACCATTGAAGGGTGGTGCAAAGCCTCAATCAAGGCTTCTGAGATCATCAACGCTCAGATTCCTGCCAAGATAAAGAGTGGTCTAGGATTTTCCAATGATCAAGAAGAAGTGTCACTGACAAGTCGATGCTTAAGTTTGGTACTTTTGTCTCTTCCATTCCTGACACCTCTTCCTTTCAGTACTCTTCCAATGAGACTCATCTTGAAGGAACTCCCTCGAGTTCGGGATACAAAGACAAAGGTAAAGCCATTGTCATCGCTCCTCTGCCTAAGAAGGCTAACAAGTCAAATAGATCCAGATCTAAACCTTCAGCTTGTAAACCT